TACATTACAGTAGAAAACAGACTAATGTAGCAACAATGAATAAAATTGAGCTATAACCATAGGTATTGTGAAAAGGCCAAGTATCATGTCCTACTGGCACAAGCACCCAGAGGTGGTAAAGAGGGATCGCTATGAGCAAATGTTGGGATTTCTCAGTTTTAAAGATAATGCACTGTCACCCTATAAACGACCCATTGTTTGCCAGGCTCCACAAAATCCGGTCCTTTCTCCAACTCCTGTCTGGCAAATGTTCCCAAAGTTATATCCCAGACCATAACATTTGTATTGAATTCCTTATGAAATTTAAAGGTAGACTGCTTTTCAAATGATATATTCCATCAAAGCAGTCATTATAATGGCATCAAATATGATAGATTATGTAAATCCACCATTGGCTATACATGGACATTTCGGATTCATTAATCTTGACCCACCAGGATGCCTTTTATGTGGGCACAAATGGCAAGATTGTGTACGATCTGATCATTCCATTGTTAAACAAGGGTGATCATCTATGGGTTGTTTAAGATATAAATATTTTTAATGAAGTGAAATGAAATGAAAGCCCTATCCTCCTGAATGAAGAGATGATCTCTATAATATGTGTGGGTGCACTTAATATGAAAGAGGTAAATTATTGTTTAGCAAATGTATAGAATCCCATTGAAGTTGTCTGGACGCAGTGTCCCAGGTCCCTTAACCCTGCAATTGTAATTATTGCAGTTTTTGATATTGGGGTATTCACAATTACATCACTAACGATACCCAAAGAAGGCAGAAATTATTGTCTGGCGTTCCTATTTCTTTTGTGCAGAGGAACCAGATTGTTACATTGGCAAAGTGCAACAACTGGTCCTTAAGAGGTTAAATGGACTGTAAAAACATTCTTCACACAACATATAGGTTAGATTAGGCTTTGTAACGGACTGCTGTTGTATCACATCGCTCTATTCCAGTCTGTATGTAAGAGATGAAAGTGTCCTATTTGGAAAGCCAGTGTTTGTCAGAAACTGTGCAAATGACTGTGATCAAATCTATATTTTAATTGGTAAGCTGGCTGTTTTGCTGGAAGCCAAGACCAGTAAAAGAAAAGAAAACTGGAAAATATAAAAAAATATTAAATGGGAAAATAATATTGGAAAATAAAAATCGTTTAGAATGCTATAGTGCTTGAAATATCCCATTAAAGTAGTCTGTAATATAAGTGTTCTGAACCTTTGACAAGACTTCCTCTGAGTCCACGTGTCGGGAAATGTTTCTTAGTCCTTTGCCAAAAACGTAACACTTCAGACGGAGCTGCCAAGGAGTCTTTGTAGTTACTGGTGTCCCCATGCCTATTGTATTAAAGGGCCTGATATCTCTTTGAGACAACTGCCAAAAGCTTTAGCTTTGAAAGAGGCAGGGACTCTGGGCAAGTGTGTTTTTTTTTTTTTTTCTCCCCCCAAACCATTCTTATTGGACTACTGGCTGTAGAGGTGCTTACCAGGTTCCTTTACGGGACATTTTTTGCAGCGTTATGGTATTTATAGTGGTCTTTAAAGGGACACTATAGTAACCAGAATACCTACAGCTTAATGTAGTTCTAGTGAGCATAATCATTGCCTTCAGGCAAACCCTGCCTTTTCAGAGAAAAGGCAGTGTTTACTTTTCCCCCTATGGACACCTCCAAGTGGCCACTCCTCACATGGCAACTGGAGGTGCTTCCTGGTGTAGTGCTGCACAGTAGGCAGCACTGCCGTTCAGCGTCTTCACGCTCTGCATGGAAAAGCTGAAATTTCCTCAGAGAGTTGCATTGATTCAATGCATCTCTAAGAGGAGATGCTGATTGGCCAAAACAGTCTTTTGGCCCTGACCCCATCCAGCCACCTTGTTGATTTCAGCCAATCCAATGCTTTCCCTATAGGGAAATCATTATCCAAAGCAGATTCTTCCTGGTACGCAAATTTTCTCGCTTGTGAAATTTTGACATTTCGGAAACCCTATGGGAAAGCATTGGATTGGCAAAAAATCGGCAGTTCTAATTGTCATCAAGGAGGCGGATCAGGGCAGGGCTAGTGTCGCCAGACCCGCGCGGCACTGGAAATAAGGTGAGTTTTCACTTTTAATAAACGGGGGGCAAGCCACCTAAATATTGGATTAAACACTATAGGATTAGGAATACATGTTTGTGTTCCTGACCCTATAGTATTCCTTTAAAGACCAGCATTGACTGCCCTGCTTGTTTGGAATCAGGAGTGATTTAGAGCTTTGCCAAATGTTAAAGGACCACTATAGTGCCAGGAAAACATACTCGTTTTCCTGGCACTATAGTGCCCTGAGGGTGCCCCCACCCTCAGGGTCCCCCTCCCGCCGGGCTCTGGGGAGAGGAAAGGGGTTAAACTTACCTTTTTTCCAGCACCGGGCGGGGAGCTCTCCTCTTCCTCTCCGCCTCCAATCCTCCTCTTCGGCTGAATGCGCATGCGCGGCAGGAGCTGCGCGCATTCAGCCAGTCTCATAGGAAAGCATTTACAATGCTTTCCTATGGGCGCTGGCGTCTTCTCACTGTGATTTTCACAGTGAGAAGCACGCAAACGCCTCTAGTGGCTGTCTCATTGAGGCTTTAGAGGCTGGATTTACCCTATTATAAACATAGCCGTTTCCCTGTGGTCTGGGTGCCTAGAGTGGACCTTTAATGAGCATAGCTGGGAAAATGTCTTGCAAATATATATTGCATTGGGAAATTGTTCATCCCACTGATATGTGTGGTTTACTAACGGGTGGTATTTCCAATAATAATAGGGGTGTAGTTTTGCCGTTCGGATCTAGGTAGAGGGAAAAGTCAATTTACACCTGAAGAAGTTAAATATGGGGGGCGGGACTTCCAGTCGCACCGAACGGTCGCATGCAGTGAGTGCTCCATGACCGGACCGGCCTAAAACGCGGCATAAACAGCGGCAAACCGCCCACACCACCCCACAAACGGCATCAGAGGTAAGGGGAACACCCCCCCACCCCAGCATGGCCCCTCCAAAAGCCCAGCGATCATCCGATTTTTTCCGGCAAGGAAAAAAAGAACGGCTCCGTTCCGACCAAGATGGCGGCGGCTCCCGCTCACCAACACGCACGTCTGAAACAGGCTCTGATAATGAATCACTGCAAACCCCCACAGGGGATCTCTCTATCTCAGAGGTGAAATTAGCAGCTATGCTCCATGACTTGCGCACGTCTATGAAAACCGACTTTCAAGCAGTGGTCTCAGACCTGCGCAAAGACCTCCTGGAAGTGGGGACACGGGTGAATGTACTGGAGGAAAAAACTGATGAGCTGTGCCAAGCCAACGATGCAATAGTGAGCAAGCTGCAGCAACTGGAAAAAGACAACAGGCGCCTGAAGGAAAAAATGGCGGACTTAGAAGACCGCTCCCGCCGCAACAACATCCGCATGCGAGGAGTACCGGAGAAGGTGACACAGGAGGATCTACCGTCCTACCTACTGCGCCTCTTTCAGGCTATCCAACCAGCCCTGGCACTAGCGGACTTACGCCTTGACCGAGCACACCGGGTACCAAAACCCACCAATCTTGCTCGAGATGTCCCTAGGGACGTAGTGACCAGATTACACTATTACAGCGCGAAGGAAGCAATCCTCACAGCGCAGAGAAAGGCATCAGAAATGCCACCTACATTTGAGGAGATATCACTATATGCTGACCTATCACCGACGACGATGTCCAGAAGACGGGACTTTATCAATGTCACAAAGTGCCTCAGAAACCACAAAGTGCCTTACAGATGGGGTTTCCCCACTAAGCTCCTGATATGGCGCAATGGATCACTGACTAAAGTTGAAGACCCGATCCAAGGAATGGAGACCCTCAAATCCTGGGGATTATTTCCCACTGACAACGCTCCCACGACCCCGGCCCCACTGCGGAAAGTGGCCACAAGCTGGACAAAGGCCTAAGCAATGTCGCCACCACGGCTCCTCCTAACATGGGCCGCTGCCGGCTTATTCTCCAAACCCTGGGGCACCCTTCAGGCCTACACCCGTGCTATGAACTGTGGCAACACCAAGGTTTTACATCTGCACGTGAGTACAGCTGCACCCTGGCCCTACCACGCTCAGCCACCTTACCACCAGCATCTCCCGCCACCCCATACCCCGGGCTGGCCGCCCCCCTCCCGGGAACCGGGAATGCTACCCAAGGGAGAGACTTATCTGGACTTACACCTCCAGGGGGGCGAAGGATTCTTCCACCCCCGCCTCACATCTTCCTAGGCCCTAGAAGGCTATGATGAGACTCATGAACTGGCCTAGGCCCACACCTCTGCCCTTGCTACCTGCAACCTTTGCTGGCCCCCCCCCCCTGTGGGCCCCGGGGAATGTTTGCCCCACTCCAGCTACTCAGCCATACCGGGTGATTGGACTGTGACAGGCGTTTAGGCCTCACCGAACGCTGAAGAACCCCCTCCCTCCCCCCCCCCGAAGTTCTCTTGGGACACCACTCGCCGCTGCAGCCCCCTCTCAGAACAATAGAGGGTACGCGCTCGGCGGAGGCGTCCTCCCCATAATGCTTCTTAGCTATTTGCTCTGTATATACTTTGTTTATGTTGTATATTTTTGTTCCCACCGTTATCAGCTCTGTTATTTCCCATGCCCCGACCCTACCTTTGAGATGCTCCCTTTCTACCATGGGCTAAAAGACGAAGTATCTGCCCAGGACATCCCTAAGCCTTACTGCGTTAAACCCACGAGACAACCTCAATCACCCAGATGTGCCCACGAGGCGCCCAACCCCCAATGCAATGAGCCCCCCTAGCAAGTTTCTCTTGGTGTACCTGAATGCCCATGGCCTAAATACCCCACAAAAACGCAGACTGGCCCTATCTCAACTGAAAGCCCTGAAGGCCTCGGTCGCATGCATACAAGAAACCCACTTTTCAGCCACGAACCCCCCAAAGTTTTCGGCCTCCTCATATCCACTAGCGTACCACGCCCTAGCGCCTAACAAGACAAGAGGGGTCAGCACACTATTCCACTCAGATTGGAGCTTCCAATGTGAAAGGGAATACAAGAGCCCTGACGGTAGGCTCCTGATCCTGGTGGGCCTCCTCAATGACGCACAGGTGACTATAGCAAACCTTTACGCCCCCAACGTCAACCAGTACGACTTCCTACGAAAGGCACTGAGAAAGGTTGACAAACTAAAGAAGGGACAGACGATGATATGCGGGGACTTTAACTGTGTGTTAGACCCTGACCTAGACAGATCAGGGACACCGGGCTCCCACCCAAGAGACAAGCTCCTAGGGGACAAACTGACGACGCTCCTCCATCTCCATAACCTGCATGACACCTGGCGGGCACTCTACCCAGCCTCTAGGGACTACACCTTTTACTCCAAGGTCCATGACCAATATTCGCGCATCGACATGTGTTGGGTCGACACTAAAACCCTGGATACCCTAGCGGAGGTCGCTATTGCCCCGATAACCTGGTCAGACCATGCCCCCCTCACATCATCATTTACCACACTACACCCAGTCCGAGGACGGGGGCAATGGAGGCTCAACGAGTCCCTCATAGACAACCCTGAGAGGGCCTCTGAGATCCAGAAATCACTAACACATTACTTCGAAGTCAATCACTACACTCACACGAGCGTCACCACGACATGGCTGGCCCACAAGGCAGTCACCCGTGGAGCACTCATACAGATGGGGGCAAAACTGAAGCGCCAACTATCTGAAAAAAGTGACTCCCTACTGAAGGAATTACAGTTAGCCGAATCACGACACAAAGCCTCACCCACTGAACCCCAAAGACTCGAAGTCCAAAACATTAGATCCACGTTAGAAACACTACAAATGCAACGGGTAGAGAGAGCCATTAGGAAGATGAAAACAACTTACTATAGGCAGGGGAACAGGGCTGGTAAACTGCTGGCCTCTCAGCTTAAGGCGAGAATCTCCCAGGTAAAAATCCCCTATATCAAGGATGAACATGGAACCAAAATCATGAACCCCAAAGCGATTGTAGACGAATTTGCTACTTTTTACGCAAAATTATACAATCTCTCCGGGGATTCCACCCAGCACCAGCCCACCCCTCAGAACATCGCCACCTTCCTGGAGGGTATACATCTCCCCCAGCTCTCCACCGCGCAGGCCGCAACGATGACCACCCCGATCCTACCAGCCGAGATCACCAGGGCACTACGAGACGCCCCAGGACCGGACGGCTACTCCGTACACTATTATAAGGTGTTTGAGGACCAACTACTCCCCCACCTCACGGCATTATTTAACCACATTCTAGTCACGGGTAACATACCCCCAGAGATGTTGGAAGCCACAATTGTCACAATTCCCAAACCAGGCAAACCCACAGACCTATGTGCAAACTACCGCCCGATCTCGCTCCTCAATGCCGACACCAAACTGTTCGCCAAGGTCCTAGCAAACCGTATCCGACCCCTCCTAAGCCAACTCGTCTCACCTGAGCAGTCGGGCTTTGTCCCGGGCCGCCAGGTTGAGGACAACACCAGACGCGCCCTGGACATAATGGAACTCATGGACTCTGACCGGTTACAAGGCCTTATAGTTGCCCTAGATGCGGAGAAAGCCTTCGACAGGCTCCACTGGGGCTATGTGTCGGAGGTCCTGCGCAAGTTTAACTTTCCGCCCCAATTCCTGACTGGACTCTTATCCCTGTACACTTCCCCCCGGGCGACTGTCATGAGCTCTGGCTTCGTCTCTAGACGCTTTGATCTGACGAACGGCACACGACAGGGCTGCCCACTCTCGCCCCTCATATTCATTCTCGCAATGGAATCCCTACTCCACAAAATCAAGGCAAACTCTAACATCGCGGGGGTCCCCTCACCAACGGGACAACATAAATTAGCAGTGTTTGCGGATGACATCCTCCTTTTTCTCACCAGGCCCTCAGACTCACTCCCCACTCTACTGCACCTTTTGCACGACTACGGCCGTGTATCTTACTATAAAAACAACATAGCAAAAACACAGGTGCTACCCATGAACCTGCCCAGATCCCAACTTGAATCTCTTAAAGCACTCCACCCCTTCGAATGGAGGAAGGATACCCTCTCTTATTTAGGCACACAGCTGACACCCTCAAAAACCAAACTCATAAGACATAACCATAGGAAATTGATGGGAGACATAGAATGACGGCTGGATAGCTGGGGCACCAAAAACACATCTTGGCTAGGACGAATTAATGCCATCAAAATGGTCATCCTCCCACAAATACTATTTCTTTTTAGAGCCCTACCGATTACCCTCCCCAAGTACACCCTCCGGGCATTCCAAAGCCTCATTAATGCGCACATATGGAAACCGAAACCACCCAGGGTATCTCTGGCGAACATCAGTATGGTCATGGGAGGAGGTGGGGTGGGTGTGCCCCACATAACCAAATACTATCTAGCGACACACCTGGCCCAGATGGCACGCCTTCTGGCTCCCTCAGACTACCCAATGTGGTTCCACCTAGAGAGTGCATTCAGCGCACCTCTATCCCTCGGCGACCTACTGTGGACCACGACAAAGGCCCAACCCCATTATCCCAAGCTACTCTCGACATCGAGGGGATCACTCCAGGTGTGGCTCAGATGGGCCCCAAAAATGACCGGTGGGAACATAGAAGCCCTTGCCCCGCTGACTACTCTCCAGCACCACACTCACGACCTCCCCTTGCAGGGATGGATAGGACAAGGAGTGACCAGAATATCACATCTCCTGGGAATAGATGGTCTACTACCATTCCCCGACCTCCAGAAAAAATACCTCATACCTAACAAGGAGATCTTCACATACATTCGTATTAAACACATAATAGGAGACGTCAAAAAACTAACCATGCTCACACAACCCCACAACTGTTTTGACACGATGTGCCTGGGCCAAAAAAAAACCAAAAAGCCATTGTCCCTATGTTACCATCGCCTATTAGACTTAGACAGGCCAACAAAACAATCCTACATGTTACAATGGGAAAGGGAGCTGAACAGTACCTTTGAGCCGCACAGATGGATGAGGGCCATGTCATTAGTAAAAAAAGCCACACACTGCCTAGACCACGTAGAAGCGGCCTACAAGTTATGGCTTCGATGGTACTATACGCCTCAACGGCTGGCCGAAATATACCCGGGCTCCCGGGCAACGTGCTGGCGCTGCAACCAACAAGAAGGCACCCTAAGCCATATATTCTGGTACTGCCCTGCACTCAGCCAATACTGGCAACAAATCCAAGACCTGATAAAACTCAGAGTAGGGATAGACCTACCACCTGCCCCTGAACATTACCTGCTCCATATGATGCCACCCGAAATAACAGCCCACGAGGCCTCACTGATCACCCACATCACGCTTGCTGCAAAGCAACGAATAGCTGCCCTATGGAAATCCACCTTAGCACCAGACATACAGTCGGTAATTACCAAAGTGAATCTCACCCAACAGTATGAGGAAATGTCGCACACGATTAGTGGTACCCTACTGAAGTATAAGGGCATTTGGTCCAAATGGTAGATGACCGTGACAGCATGGCGACGAACACCTCCCTCTAATACACATGTATAGGGGAGCATCCCGAAACCCCCCCCCCCTCTTTTTTCCCCCTAGTTCCCGACATCTCCCACCTACTTCCATCCTCCCCCCCCCCCTTTTTTTCTTCTTGAGAAATCAAGGGTTATAGCCACGTTGGCAAACCTCTCAACTCTGAGGAAACCAGTAGAGCAATTACGGAATAACAGCCTATGGAGCTGTTGTATATGTGGCACCCTGAAGCATCGCTTGAATAATTAGGTAACTGGAAATCAGTTGCCACTCAGATCTGTTACTGTACCCGTCTCTTACGGCTCCAATGTATTAGACCCTACTGTGTAATATTATGATGTTGAACCCTCAATAAAAATGATAAATATAAAAAAAAAAAGAAGTTAAATATGTGTAGTTATTTATGAGTATTTGTTAGTAATTTTAAAGATGGATTGAGCAGCTATTTAGGACACCTAATGTGTGGAAAATGGTATTATTCTGTAGCTATAATAAGATTCTTCATAGCATGAAAATTCCTTTTGAAACACCGGACAGCTGGCTTGCAATGTAATTTTTGCAATTTGTGCATCTGAATAGCATAATTGATCCTTGTGTTCATTTTGTAGGATCTGATGACTCCTGCATATTCAGCAGGATTCAGTACAAATTGCAGGCCTGAATTATTTAATGCATTGCTCAGCATGAACTTGTACCATTGCAGCCTTCCGAGAATTCCGAGAGTGAATTCCGATCTAAGCACCCATCAGTAATAACCATTCCATTGACGATAGGCAATATACTTCGCCATTTTAACCCTATGCCTAGAAGTATAGATGGATTGATTATTTTCACTATTATTTATTTTGCGCCAACATATTCCACAGCGCTGTACAATTATAGAATGGGTATAAGTGACCACATGTGATTGACATACAAAATATTAAGAAAATTCACGCAGTCTGATGGTATAGGATATAGTGTTGCTTTTGACAATTCCTGCAGATGTGTTGGCAGTATAGAAACAAGCAGAATGTCACTTGCATACGAAGAGAATGAGAAGGGGTGTATTTGATGAGACAGAGGAAATATAGTGAAGTGGAGTTATTGAGGACTTGTTCACTAAAAATGTTTTAAAACTAAAGGTCAAATTAGACACGCGATGTTAAATATAAAAATAAGATACAGTATAATATCTTTTAGAAGTTACAAAAATATGTACAAGTTTGAAATCGAAAATATAAATACAAAAAACACAGGGTTCTCCAAAGGTAGCTTAATTAGTTCACAAAAGTATCATAGCCACTCACATGTAGAAGAGCCATGAGTTGGCCCTGTAAGATGCACCTCTAAGTGCTCAGCCGTAGATAGACCATTATTCTCTTTAAAGGGACACTATAGTCACCTGAACAACTTCAGCTTAATGAGGTTATTCAGGTGAGAACTATAGCTCCCTGCAGCCTTTCTCATGTAAACACTGTATTTTCTGAGAAAATACAGTGTTAACATTGAAAGCTAGAAACACCTCCAGTTGCAGTCACTCAGAGTGAACCAGAGGGACCTCGGAGTTGATGGAGGCATAATAGGGCAGCACTGTGCACAGCATCCTGTGATTCAGTATCTCCTCCCTCTGCATGCAGAAACTGAACTTTCCTCATAGAGATTCATTGATTCACTTAATCTCTATGAGGAGATGTCGATTGGCCAGGGCTGTGTTTGAATCATGCTGGCTCTGCCCCTGATCTGCCTCTTTGTCAGTCTCCGCCAATCCTATGGGGAAGCACTGTGATTGGATCAGGCTACTACATGTCAGCAGACTGCTTGTTTTTCTGAGTCTAACAGCATGCAGATTTACAGCGTCAGCCTTGAATACAGTAAGATTTTTACTATACTTGTGGAGGCATGAGGGGCCCAGGGGGGCTAGATGGTGGTGTTAACACTATAGAGTCAGGAATACATGTTTGTGTTCCTGACCCTATAGTGATCCTTTAAAGATTCTGCCAAAGAAAAAATGGACAACTTGGTGTGGTTTAAA